TTTTGAGACAGAGCCTCATTTTGTTGCCCGGGGTAGAGTGAGTGCCGTGGCGTCAGCCTCGATGACAGCAACCTCAATCTCCTGGGCTCAAGCGATCCTCCTGCCTCGGCCTCCCTCCCGAGTAGCTGGGACGATAGGCATGCGCCACCACGCCCGGCTCATTTTTTGTATATATATTTTTAGTTGGTCAATTAATTTCTTTCTACTTTTTTAGTAGAGACGGGGTCTTGCTCTTGCTCAGGCTGGCCTCGACCTCCTGACCTCGAGCGATCCTCCCGCCTCGGCCTCCCTCCCAGAGTAGCTGGGATGACAGGCGTGAGCCTCCACGCCCGGCCTCTCTCTATATATTTTTTTTAATGCTGGTTCATGCCCTGGGTTTGCCTGTCTCCCCTGTGACTTAAGCACCAAGCGTCCCCCATCCCACTTGCCCATCCCGGACCCCAGCCCGCCCTTTGTCCCCGCCCTGCCTGCGGCCTCCAGCCTCTACCAGCTCCGAGCTGGAGGCCGGGAGCAGGACTCACACAGTCTACGTTGTCCGTCATGTTCAGGATGATGTAGCTTTTCCCCACCAGGTTGCTCCAGTCCTTACAGATCACCTGCGTGATGCGACAGAAATAACAGCGACAGTCACAAAGCCACAGGGGAGGAGGCAGCCCGGGGAGGAGGCCAGGAGGTGAGGCCCAGCTACGTGGAGACTGACCACATCTGCAACCGGGACACACGCCCGGAGAAACTAGCGTGAGGCCCGCAACCTCCGCAGAGAACTCGGGGAGCAAGGAGGGGACCTCTTAAGTGACAGGCAGGGCTGAGGCATTTTGACGCCCGGGATGCAGGGAAGTCGCTCCTCACAGCAGCCTCCACCTCCTGGGCTCCAGCGAGCCTCCTGCCTCGGCCTCCCTCCCGAGTAGCTGGGACGACAGGCACGCGCCCCCACGCCCGGCTCATTATTTTTCTATATATTTTTAGTCGTCCAGCTCGTTTCTTTTTATTTTTGTAGTAGAGACGGGGTCTCGCTCTTGCTCATCGGGCTGGCCTCGAACTCCTGAGCTCCAGTGATCCTCCTGCCTCGGCCTCCCTCCCGAGTAGCTGGGACGACAGGCATGCGCCTCCACACCCGGCTCATTTTTTAAATACATTTTTAGTCGTCCAGCTCATTTCTTTCTATTTTTTTTTTTAGTAGAGACGGGGTCTCGCTCTTGCTCATTGGGCCGGCCTCGAACTCCTGACCTCGAGCCATCCTCCCGCCTCGGCCTCCCGAGTAGCTGGGACTGCGGCGTCAAAGAGGCCGGCTGGGGAGGGCTTGTAAGTTTGCAACGGCTAACTTGGTAACGCTGTGAGGGCCCCTGTCCTTTCCTGGTGGCATCCGTGGGCGTGCATGCGTGTGCTCGTGTTTTTCGGGGGCGGGTGCAGTGGAGACAGGACTGGGGAGAACACAGGTCCCTCGGTCCCCAACTCTGGGCTGCCGGCATCATCCGTGGCGGGAACAGCAGTGTCTGATGGGGGTGAGGCCAGGGCGGGCCACCAAGCTTGTCCAAAGGACTTTGCACGTTAAGTTTGCAACAGCCGGCCGGGCGCGGAGGCTCGCGCCTGTCATCCCAGCACTCTGGGAGGCCGAGGCGGGAGGATCGCTCGAGGTCGGGAGTTGGAGGCCAGCCTGAGCAAGAGCGAGACCCTGTCTCTACTAAACATAGAAAGAAATTAATTGGCCAACTGAAAATATATAGGAAAAACGAGCCGGGCGTGGTGGCGCATGCCTGTGGTCCCAGCTACTCGGGAGGGAGGCCGAGGCAGGAGGATCGCTCGAGGCCAGCAGTTGGAGGCTGCTGTGAGCGAGGCTGACGCCACGGCACTCTAGCCCAGGTGACAGATTGAGACTAAGAAGAAAAGAAAGAAAACAAAAGAAAAGAAAAAGGAAAGGAAAACGACAGGAAAAGGAAAGGAAAGGGAAAGGGGAAGGAAGGGAAAGGGAAGGGAAAGGGAAAGGGAAGGAAAGGAAAAGAGAAGAAAAGGAAGGAAAAGAAAAGAAAAAAGGAAAAGGAAAGGAAAGGAGAGGGAAAGGGAAAGGAAGAAAAGAAAAAGAAGAAAAAAGAAAAAGAGAAAAAAAGAAAAGAAAAGAAAAGGTGAAAGGAAAGGAAAGGAAAAGAGAAGAGAAGAAAAGGAAGGAAAAGAAAAGAAAAGAAAAAAGGAAAAGGAAAGGAAAGGAGAGGGAAAGGGAAAGGAAGAAAA